GCCATGTGTGTGGTGCCATGTGTGTGGTGCCATGTGTGTGGTGCCATGTGTGTGGTGCCATGTGTGTGGTGCCATGTGTGTGGTGCCATGTGTGTGGTGCCATGTGCGTGGTGCCATGTGCGTGGTGCCATGTGTGTGGTGCCATGTGCGTGGTGCCATGTGTGTGGTGCCATGTGCGTGGTGCCATGTGTGTGGTGCCATGTGTGTGGTGCCATGTGTGTGGTGCCATGTGCGTGGTGCCATGTGCGTGGTGCCATGTGCGTGGTGCCATGTGTGTGGTGCCATGTGTGTGGTGCCATGTGTGTGGTGCCATGTGTGTGGTGCCATGTGTGTGGTGCCATGTGTGTGGTGCCATGTGTGTGGTGCCATGTGCGTGGTGCCATGTGTGTGGTGCCATGTGCGTGGTGCCATGTGCGTGGTGCCATGTGTGTGGTGCCATGTGCGTGGTGCCATGTGCGTGGTGCCATGTGCGTGGTGCCATGTGTGTGGTGCCATGTGTGTGGTGCCATGTGTGTGGTGCCATGTGTGTGGTGCCATGTGTGTGGTGCCATGTGTGTGGTGCCATGTGTGTGGTGCCATGTGTGTGGTGCCATGTGTGTGGTGCCATGTGTGTGGTGCCATGTGTGTGGTGCCATGTGTGTGGTGCCATGTGTGTGGTGCCATGTGCGTGGTGCTCCCTTGGAAATGCGGGCAGCACTGGAATGGGGACGCAGCTTTACTGAACTCACATGGACGCAGCTCAACCTTGCAGGCGCGTGCATGGTGCTGCGCTGTGCATGGTGCTGCGCTGTGCATGGTGCTGCGCTGTGCATGGTGCTGTTGCTGTGCATGGTGCTGCGCTGTGCATGGTGCTGCGCTGTGCATGGTGCTGCGCTGTGCATGGTGCTGCGCTGTGCATGGTGCTGCGCTGTGCATGGTGCTGCGCTGTGCATGGTGCTGCGCTGTGCATGGTGCTGCGCTGTGCATGGTGCTGTGCTGTGCATGGTGCTGCGCTGTGCATGGTGCTGCGCTGTGCATGGTGCTGCGCTGTGCATGGTGCTGCGCTGTGCATGGTGCTGCGCTGTGCATGGTGCTGTTGCTGTGCATGGTGCTGCGCTGTGCATGGTGCTGCGCTATGCATGGTGCTGCGCTGTGCATGGTGCTGCGCTGTGCATGGTGCTGCGCTGTGCATGGTGCTGCGCTGTGCATGGTGCTGCGCTGTGCATGGTGCTGCGCTGTGCATGGTGCTGTGTGTGCTGTGCATGGTGCTGTGCTGTGCATGGTGCTGCGCTGTGCATGGTGCTGTGCTGTGCATGGTGCTGCGCTGTGCATGGTGCTGCGCTGTGCATGGTGCTGTGCTGTGCATGGTGCTGCGCTGTGCATGGTGCTCCGCTGTGCATGGTGCTGCGCTGTGCATGGTGCTGCGCTGTGCATGGTGCTGCGCTGTGCATGGTGCTGCGCTGTGCATGGTGCTGCGCTGTGCATGGTGCTGCGCTGTGCATGGTGCTGCGCTGTGCATGGTGCTGCGCTGTGCATGGTGCTGCGCTGTGCATGGTGCTGCGCTGTGCATGGTGCTGCGCTGTGCATGGTGCTGCGCTGTGCATGGTGCTGCGCTGTGCATGGTGCTGTGCTGTGCATGGTGCTGCGCTGTGCATGGTGCTGCGCTGTGCATGGTGCTGCGCTGTGCATGGTGCTGTGCTGTGCATGGTGCTGCGCTGTGCATGGTGCTGCGCTGTGCATGGTGCTGCGCTGTGCATGGTGCTGTGCTGTGCATGGTGCTGTGCTGTGCATGGTGCTGCGCTGTGCATGGTGCTGTGCTGTGCATGGTGCTGTGCTGTGTATGGTGCTGCGCTGTGCATGGTGCTGTGCTGTGCATGGTGCTGCGCTGTGCATGGTGCTGCGCTGTGCATGGTGCTGCGCTGTGCATGGTGCTGCGCTGTGCATGGTGCTGCGCTGTGCATGGTGCTGTGCTGTGCATGGTGCTGCGCTGTGCATGGTGCTGTGCTGTGCATGGTGCTGCGCTGTGCATGGTGCTCCGCTGTGCATGGTGTTGTGCTGTGCATGGTGCTGCGCTGTGCATGGTGCTGCGCTGTGCATGGTGCTGTGCTGTGCAAGGTGCTGCGCTGTGCATGGTGCTGCGCTGTGCATGGTGCTGCGCTGTGCATGGTGCTGCGCTGTGCATGGTGCTGCGCTGTGCATGGTGCTGCGCTGTGCATGGTGCTGTGCTGTGCATGGTGCTGTGCTGTGCATGGTGCTGTGCTGTGCATGGTGCTGTGCTGTGCATGGTGCTCCGCTGTGCATGGTGCTCCGCTGTGCATGGTGCTGTGCTGTGCATGGTGTTGTGCTGTGCATGGTGCTGCGCTGTGCATGGTGCTGCGCTGTGCATGGTGCTGCGCTGTGCATGGTGCTGTGCTGTGCATGGTGCTGCGCTGTGCATGGTGCTGCGCTGTGCATGGTGCTGCGCTGTGCATGGTGCTGCGCTGTGCATGGTGCTGCGCTGTGCATGGTGCTGCGCTGTGCA